AGATGTCATAGCAACAGGATTTAAAGACTCGGCAGCGTCTGGGAAGAATGGATGGTTGGTACCTTGAAGGGTTTGATGCTGTTTGCCATAAGCGACAGTCTCATCTAAAGGACTTACTAATTCAAGTTACCAGAAATTTTCTCAGAATTTACCCTAAGGAAATATTCAAACATGCAGCGCCAACAAACGCCACCTGGAATTATCTCATCAAATAAGGAAATGCTTATCCTTGGGTTGGGTGGAAGTAGGCTGCTGTGCCCCACCCAGTCATATCCATAAAGACTAATTGACACCAGAAGCTGATGGCTTAGATCTAAAAGGCGAAGCAGGGTTTGCGGGTAATGGGAAGAAATTGTCAAGAAAACCCCAGAGAAATCATTCTCCAATGAAATAAACCCATGGCGGGCCTAGGGAAAACCTCACTTGATCATATTCTATCTACTCCTTCAAAACTTATGACAGCTTTCAATAAATTATATTGTATTCAGCCTGTATGAAGTCTGCTATCATATTCAGTCAACACCCAAAGGTAAAGAGAAAGAAAACATTCTACAGGTAATGTTCGCCAAATTACACAAAAAACCCCACTTCTTTCTGAAGCAGAGCAGTAAGAAGAGAGGGTTTTTCTTTTTGCTTAGGGAGCCTACATATCTGATTTAATTTCCACCCAGTTGTCTCAGTTCATGAGTAAACACAGTTTGGAGTATCCGGAAATACGTCACAGTTGTGTCTCTAGTTACTATAAAGAGCTAATAGGCAAGCTTGAAAAGCTGGGGAAAAGACATTAGTTCTAAGCAGTAAAATATATAAAAACACTTTTCAGAAAAATCTTACTGTTCTTTGCCCTCCACCCCCTCATTTCTAATTCCTCTAACAGAAAAGTTTGGTTCTCTTTCCCTTTCCTTCTTTTTCCAAATCCATGATATCACATCCTATTAGTAGTAAGGAGTGGGCAGTGGAGTAGATGTTTGGTCCTTAACGTTCTACTGAATTGCATACCATCTGATGCAGGACTGTCTCTTGTGTAAGGACTTTGTATACTTCTATATTAGACACCGTTTACAGGTGGATTTAAAAATTTGTGAATTATAGTTAAGAGCCATTCAAAATTTTCTACAAAAACATATTCTTGTAATAATGAGGTTATCTTATATGACCAAGATAGGAGGATTTTTATTAATACCCATCAAAACATCTGTTTGTGAGAAGAGCTTATTTTTGATGCTTTATGTCAATTTCATTCAAAAGCTATTTGGATTCTAAAATAAAGAGCAAATATCACTTGAGATTCTCTAGGCTGTGTATGAGATTGTATATGCATGTGTGTATATTTTAGAAAATGTTTTGAATGCAGAAAAGCACAAAGAATAATCAACAGCCAATATCTAGAATCGGGTTGTCAACAGTATGTTTGCTTCATTTGTTTTGAAAAGGAAGATAACGCATAGCAAAAAAAATTTAAATCCTCTCTGCTTCCAAACTACCAGTCCACTAGAGCCAAGCTCTACAAGCACTGAAAGTTTTTCTGCTTTATTTTCCAGGAAATAGTAGGCAATCAATAAAAGCCTGTCTCCTCTGCCTTTCCACAGACGTAAGAATCGAGTATATTTTCTTCCAGTATCTTTTTAGATACTTTACAAATACTTAAATGTATTAATGAACAGCATGTTTCATGTCTAGGAGTAAAATTTACATAAACATTACATAAAAAATCATTCTGTATGTAGCCTTTTTCATTCAATACACTGTTGACCAGAATTCTTTAAGCACAGAGAAACCTCAATATACTCTTCCTAACATGGAACCATGTTCAACTGATACAACCAGAGAATTCCATAATAATGTTTTCCAAATAACTGATTAGAATATTATGATAAATTTTTACAAGACCCTAGACAGTCCATGCTTGGACGCCTCCGTGTAGTTCCAGCTTTTAAAATTTTATACAAAACATGGCTCTGAAGAAAGTAAAGTAACACATAGAATTAAGGAAATGGAAGATGCAATTAGAACCTGTCAATCTAAAAAAGACTTGGTAGTGTTAACAACTATTGCACATGCATTGTGGGGTAAGTAAATGAGTAACTACTGGCTGACATTGGGAACTTGGATTTTGGCATAGGAGGAAGGAGAAATGAGGTAATTAAGTAAAAACTCTCTAGGCATAAATATGAATTGGAAGTATCAGTACTAACTCTGGATACATTTCTTTCAAAAAATAAATAATTTTCTATTTCTAGGCCCTCTGAGAGGAAATAAGAACTACCTTAGGGAAAACCACCCCTAGTACTTAGAGAGTCATTTCTAAATACTATCTCCCTTTCCCAAGGGAACTTGGGATGAACGATCCTTTGAGAAATGACTGGTTCCAGTTCTGGACAAGGAATAGGCAACACGCTTGGCCTGCAACAGCTTGTCATCCCTGCCCCCCGCCCCCATACACACACAAACACGCACACACATACACAGAATCGAGCTATGAGCACTACTCAGTACACGGACAAGGATTCAGGAGCCAATCTGAAGAAACTCCCACTGGCCAAACATGGGATAACTTAGCATCTAAAAGAATAATGGCAATGGACTACAATACACCAAATCCAAATTCATCTCAAAATCACTGACATGTAAAAAAGGATAAATCTATGAGCTCTTAATGATACTTAAAAAAACCCATTATTCACATGCTAAGTAATCAAAATTTTTTTGAAACTGCTAAATATGACCAAAGAATCAAGCATTTATCCTGCCTTTGCTACACTAACTTCTTGTAAAAAGTTCTGTCAAACATTAAACCTAAATATAATAAAATTTCTAGATCTAACTAACAACTAACGAAGAATACAGGGGACAGAAGAATATGATCAGTAACATCCAGCCTGGGGGAAACTCTAAAAGGAAAATGATTTGGATTCTCCAAAGGATGGCTTATGAGTGGGAGGAGGGGCTTGGAGAGGAAGGAAGAAACCTCTTAGTTTAAGGAAATCAACCAATGGAAATGTGTGAACCCATCTGGACCAGGATTGTTTGTATTTTTTAGGTCCTCATTAGTTATCTATTTTATATATAGTAGTGTGTATGTCAGTTAGGTCAGGATTCTTAAAAATAAATTGTAATAAAAAAGAACCATTCATGAGACAACTGGAGAAACTGGAACACTCAATAATAAAGAATTATTACTAATTTAGACGAGGTAATGATACTGTGATCGATTTTTTAATGACTACTTTTAGAAATGGTATCATTTCATTCAGAAATATTTGAGTCTGTATTACTTCCAAATAATTTGGGGACAAGGGAGAGGTTGGTAGGGATATAGATGAAATAAGATTAACACTGTTGATAACTGTTTAAGCAGGGTAACAGGTGCATGGGGGGTCCTTGAACTCCCTTCTCTGCTTATATATGTTAAGGTTAAACAAAAAACAAAAACAGGGCTTCCCTGGTGGTGCAGTGGTTGAGAGTCCGCCTGCCGATGCAGCGGACACGGGTTCGTGCCCCGGTCCGGGAAGATCCCACATGCCGCGGAGCGGCTGGGCCGGTGAGCCATGGCTGCTGAGCCTGCGCGTCCGGAGCCTGTGCTCCGCAACGGGAGAGGCCACAGCAGTGAGAGGCCCGCGTACCGCAAAAAACAAAAACAAAAGATAAAGACTCAAGGGATGTTGAAAGATCTGTAAAATGCTGAAAGGCATCATTAACAATTTTTTCCTCAAATATCAAAATACTTTAGGTGAGGCATACTGTGAACCTTCAATGTAAATAAAAATGAAAATGCTGCTTTGTATTAGAGAATTCCAACCTGATACATATTGAAATGGAAGGAGTCTTTAGTGACAGAGTCAAATCACAAGTACCTCAAATGTTGCACCCTACAAAACGCACCGAAATAAAGAGTGCATGCGGTGGTAGCAAGCAAAGGAGTATTTCAGTTGCAGGGAGCCAACCTAATGGAGACGTACAAATCATCAGTTTGCAAAAATCCTCCTCCTGCCTGATCATCTTTAATAAGCCTCAAGTGACTAATGAGAGGCTTTTGATGATACCATCTATTTCTCCTTAGCAGTAGAACAGTTAATATGTAATATGAAAAAAGTAGAAATGCTCCTAAATATTAAAATGAATAGGTTTTTATTCTGTAGCATATCTATCTATACCTGCCCCCCTACACCCCAAGCCTAGTTATCAACTTGCTGGTTTTGACAAGCAAAACACAAATAGAACAGGTGCCTTTGTTAGCACTGAAGGTAAATTCTGGCACCTGTTTGGACACCAGCTGTGTGCTAATTCGTCTTACGATTGCCAAATATTGCAAAACTACGAATGTTCCTTCAGGCTTCCAGGTGTGGGTCTGGATGTTGGCTGGCAGATGTCCCTGGAGAGACCAGGCCTGGTTCTGACAGCCTCTATGATGAGTTTTAGCCAGTGCAAAGTAAGACTTGGCTGCATAAGCCTGTGCCTGCGAGGCAGTTCAGGCAGTGAGGGTGGAGGATACTTTGGGGGATGCGGAACAAAAACATTCTCTGGTCTAGAGATACTAACACAGACAGGTGTCCGGTGTCTGGTCACCTGCCTGAAAGCCATTTTTGATTAAGTACTAGTCAGTAGCAGCATGCCCACCACATTGGAACCCTACTCTACCATACACTTCCACAGTTTACTGCTGTGGCTTTCCATTTAGCCCTTCATCTATACTTATATGACAAAAATAATGGAGTTGATGCTCTGCTTCTAGTCCTAGGACATAAACTGAATTACTGCATGAACAGTTTGGACAAGAAAGGAGATGGCCTGAGAGCTCTCAAAATTAGAGCCTGAGTACAGTGTGGTAAGTTTGGTTGCAATGAAGGCTTTCCCTCTGGACATGGGTTTATTTTACACCCTTAATAATCAAAAATATGAGATGTATGATAAAATGTTCGATTGTTGCTTCTTTCAGCGGAGTCTGATGAAATGGATGGATTTTATTTGGAAAATGAAAAAAAACAAACAAAGAAACCTACCTGAAGACTGCAAGGGTCAGAGACCAGAGCACTAATGGCTTCCTCAGTTCAAACTTCGCCCGTTTGTTCATTAGGTGCCGGCCACCGAAGATAAAGGCAGCATACAGAGCAGAAAACAGGAAAGATTTCTTCCTATGAACAAACAGAAAACCAAAATCTTATGAAATAAAGATCTTTAAGCAATTATTTTTATCCATTAGAATTCTATATTTATTCATTGTTCATCAACTTTTATACCACTCTCCTCTTGCTAAGCACCAAAAACATTCTTGGGAATGTGCCCCCTTCACTGAAGAGAGAATGTTTATCCATTTGGCAACATGGCGGCTGTTGAATCCCCTCCTGACAAATTAGGTCATCTGGATTAACCAACCCATATCAGGATAGATTTTCTTTTTGGGCTCTATAACTATAAACATTTCAACAACATAGCACTGAGGTAAAAAAGAAACCTTTTCACTGAGAGAATTATTTTTCAGAGTTTGTTGGACCATTTAGATAGATGAATTTTAAAAAAGGAATTATTTTTATTGCAAATAAAATATTAGGTGACAGAGTTGTGTCCTAGGACAAGAAGGTCTTTTAAAATGTCATCTTCCTAAAAGGCTAATGATACTAAAAAATGATTTTGGAGAAATACTTGATGATTTGAAACACTACAATTAAGCTACATGACTTAAAGCCCCCCCAAGATGGATTCCTGACATCTTCTCCACCAAGGGAGGCAGGTATTAAATTTCAGTATTATCATCAATAATAGGCCTGTCAGACATCATACAATGCAATAGGAAGAACACAGAACCACCTACAGTACAGTGGCCTAAAACCTTGAGCTTGAATCTCATCAAATATCTGATTTTACTACCTGCTTATAGGAAAGATAGGGGATAAAGCCAAACTTTGGACATTCTGTAGGACAGCTGATTTCTTCAAAATGTCAGTGGTAAGAAATCAAAATCTGGGACTGTTCTAGATTAAAAGTGACTTGAGAGACATAACAATCAAAGGTAACAGGCAGAACTTCTTTGGATCCATATTTGAACAAACCAATTGTTTAAAAAAAATCTTTAATAAAATCAGAAAGTTATCAGTCATAGTCTTAAAAGCTCTTATCAGTTAATATTTATGGGTGAAATTATATGTCTTGGATTTGCGTTAAAATACTCTGGGAAACACACAGAACTCAAGCAATATTAAGAATGGAGAGACAACACAAGACTAACAAAAAAGATAATGGAACACAGGGGCCCATGAGTCCTTTTCTCTTTTTGTTAGTCAGATTTAGGTGGGAGTTTCAGTCAGGAAGGTCTAACTAAATAAAATCTGCATGTCCTGCTGGTTTATTATTGTACCAAGGAGAAGTGAACAATAGTATTGATAATGCCATAAAGAACAAACAACACAAAGCCTTTGTAGACTTTGATTCAACAGAAAGTAACAGAGGCTGTGTAAATAACTGAAACATCTGAGTATATCTTCTGATATGATAAAGCAATGTTTCTTTTAAAATGGGTATTCCTCACTCAGGTTAAAATGGAAAGGGCTGAAAAATAAGATACAAGATATAATACAAAAAGCAAAATGCATTAACTGAAGAGCATTACTTGTAAAAGGCTTCATATTTTTTCCCCTAACCACTACCGTGTATTGCTGACTCATGAGCGATCTTATTATTTACAGAAGCATCACTCCTCCTCCAGTGAGTGCAGGTGACCTACCTGGTGAACCCCACCAAATAAAGCAGTGATTCCCGAAATCAACTGGTAAATAGTGTCAAATAAATCACTTCCACTGAGTGTCGCAAACTCTTGGAAACACAAGACCTGGCACACAGTAAGTGCTTAATAAACACCTGTTGAATGATCACGATCTTGTCATATCAAATTTTCTAATGGGGAAAATATCTATGCACCTAGGCACATGGGGGCTCAGTGAACACTAACTGAGTAAATGAACAGTTGTGCTTTCCCAGTAATGTCTTAATAACTAAAGAATAAAATATTCAGAAAGAAACATACCATCCATTTTCTTCCTCCAGAAAGAAAGAGACTATTTCTATATTTCAAAGAGAAGTGGAAATGAGACGATTTTATGGAAACTGTAACTATTGAACATTTCAAGAAGAGAGTATTTTTGGCCATAACTATATTTATTGCTTTACTTCTTTGAAGTTTGCAAGTGTATGGCATTACTTTAAATGTCAGAATCACTGCATTTACATGCATATAAGCAAGGACTCACTCAAGAAAAACAAAATTTAAGAAGTTAATGTAGATAATAGTAATATGGAAAAGTATATATTCTTTTCTAAATTATAAAGGTAATGATAAGTGACAATAATCATGGTATTATGATTTAGGGAGTGATTCCTGTGGGTAGAGATAGTGCTAAAAACCTTTGTTATTTAATCCTCCTAATCATCCTTAATGTAGGTAAAACATTATCTCCATGTTACGGCTTAGGAACCTGGCTTAGAGGTTAAGCAGCCTCAGATCTCCCTGCTCGCCTGTGGTAAACTTTTGGAGGAAAGAAGGGTGTGTCTGCTAAGTTATAAGAATTCCTTAAACCCTCCTTCTGACTTGCAAGGTTATTGTGCAACTTTGCGGCACAATGTTTAACTGTGAAAAGATAAAGAGAAATCTCTACAGGTTTGGTTCAACTGTCATATTTTCTGGGCGTGGAACACTTTGATCACAACCCTCCTCACCTCCTGCATAACAAATTCACTATATATACCACTGAAAACTCTTCCTTACAATTATTTATCGTTCTTTCTTAAAATTAGTCAATCTAATTCCAAGTTTGGTTATAGTTAGATTAATTACATTACTTACAGTTATGAACTAAGTTAAGTGACTGTCCATATGATCCCATCATTCTAGCCTAAGGGAAAAATAATGTGCCTTGAAGAACCAGCAAAAGAATAAAAATCTTCTCTCTGTATTTCTTCCTCAAATTTCTTCAGTTCTAGAATGAGAATTAGCCCTAATGGACTACTAGCTTCCTGGCGAGGACCATTCTTGTTTGCATGTTTTCTAAAGATCTCTTTAAGAATCTTCAATTCCACACAGCTAGGACAAACAAGTCAATCAACATAAACATGCAGAATTTGAGAATTGCGAGGGACAAATTTCCTTGTTCTACAGAAGAGGAAATGCGGGGCGGGTGCTGATGACATTGGTTGCTCAGGGTCACGTGGCCACATATTGCATATTGGTCAAAACTACCAAAAATTGTAATGGCCGTGATCAAGCAGGTAGGTAAACATAAATCAATTGTCTAGGTTACATCTGGGTCACAGGCAGTCAATAATAGGAACTGATACTTGTTTAATTATAAGTGCTATAATAAAAATAAGTGACTTATCGTATCTTATATAAATCTTCCACTATGGTGAAATTTAAATAATGCTTTGGCAACAGTAGATGGACTTGGAAGGCAGTATGCTAAGTGAAAGGAGTCATATAAGAAAGACTAATACTGTATGGTATCACTTATATATGGAATCTAAAAAATACAACAAAGTAATGAATATAACAGAAAAGAAGCAGAATCACAGATATAGAGAACAAACTAGTGGTTACCAGTGGGGAGAGGAAGGGGAGGGGCAATGAAGATGTGAGAGAGCAGAAGGAACAAACTATTAGGTATAAGATAGGCTACAAGGTTGTATTCTACAACACGGGGAATATAGCCAGTGTTTTGTAATAACTGTAAATGGAGTGTAACCTTTTAAAATTGTATTAAAAGTAAGTAAATGTACAAAAAATAAAAAAAGGTAAATAATGCTTTGGGTTAATTTAGAACTAAGCTTAGGCTTCTTCTAAAAGAGGGAGTCATCTAAGGAAGCATTAACTCTTACCTCTTCAATGGAGTAACCAAAATTTATCATTTATAGATGAATGTTATGCTTTTTCCATTTTACTTAGAAGAAACTTTTTCTTTAGGCAAATGGGCGATTTAAACTATCTTTCCATTCTGGTATCTCTTTGGTAAAGGTTCAGTTATAGTCAAATGAATAATGACTTGCCGCTGGCCCACTTACTATTTAATGTGGATAGATGACTTCCCTAAAGCTTCAACAGTAATCCAATCATACTTCATATTGTGACAGGCCTCCATAGCTGGGTATAATGGTAACACTACATTGTTTTATTATCAGATAATTAGCAATTTCTAGATGGTATGGGCTCTTGTTTAGGAAGTCTTAAATGCACAATCATATAGCACAACCTTTAACTGTAGGTACTTAATACTTTTCAGGAGGTGATTCTGTAGCTGTAATTACGAAGTAACCAACCAAATAAGGATCACGCAAATGAAATACTGATATGCTTTGAGCTTGTCATGCTTGTATTTACCCTTTTTTCCCTTTTACTTCTGTCGTCAATGAGAATAATGAAATAATTAGTGAATGTGAATAATAATTAGTCCACAATTAATCAAAACAATGGTTTATCCTTTATCCTTAAAGAGCTGGATTTCTTTATCATGGTACTTTGTTCCAAAACATTCCTAGATGCTTTTTCTATTCTGACCTATTCTGAGTAGCTGCTTATGATTTGTAGCCTCACAACACTTCTTAAAGGGTATGTATATATTCAAATGTTTTTTTTTTCCCCCAACTCCTGGGATTCCACTGAAACCAGTACCTAGTAACTAGAGTCCCTTAATGCTCACATCAAGATCTCTGCCAGGTGACCTGCACTCCTTTGGAACTCAGACAAGTTTATCTGAGAATGGCAAAACTTTCATGTGGGTAGCATTTCACATAGGATAATTGCTAATGAGCCCCTTGGGGAGATGACCCGAGCTCCTTTATGTCAGTGACCTTGTTTTTACAGCTACTGTGTATGTGTGAGACACAAGGAGTTGTGAAAGGGAAAATTAAGCTGTGAGGGAGAAAAGGAAAGAAAAGAAAAGGAGACCTAAAAGCATCTATTTTGGCTGATCTACCTGGTACATAGAAAGTTTCCACCTTTCTATGTGTGAAGAGTGAAGCTGAGAAAGTATGTTACTCAGTAAGGCCACATCTCTTTTAAGGTTTCTCCTTTAGTTCCGTTGCTGATTCAAGTCAGAAAATAATTCAAGGTTCTGAAAGTAGTTATAGGACACATATGAATTGCAGACTG